GTAATTCAAAGTTGGCCGAGTGGAGATCTGCGTCTGGTCTCCGAAAAAAAAAAAATTAAAAAAAATAAACCAAGGGTAGAACATGAACCGCGCTCGGCCCATGGCTGTACGGTTAAAAATTGTAGAGAGCATCTGTGGTGCTGTCAGTAATCATGTAATATATTTCATTTTGTTGACACAAAATGCTGATTACCTCTGTTAATCTGGCTTTTAAACTTCAACGTTGTGAATGATTGTGGTCTTGACGGCCAACTCTCAAAATATTTGTCAATATTTTAACCACAAATGACTATCAACCAGTCAAGTCATTTTCCACACATTCCTGGGAAAATCAGGTGCCTGGAACACTATCAACAACAGTAACACACAGACACACCTTTCTGATTTTTTCTTTTGGGGAGGGACAGCTGGGACACAGGCTATCGCCAACACTATTCAGGTATATCACATTTTACATTACCAGCAAAATACCCTGTGATGCAGGTTCCAGTAGCCGCATCAGCAATAGTTTGTGAACTCATTTCTTGTAAATTATTTTCATCCTAAGGTAATGCCACTATTCAGTATTCACCGAACCTACCATCCTCCCCAAGTCCTCCTCACTCACCCGGCACAGGAACAGACACCCCCCTGAACAGTGTCACTATGGTGTCTGCAAATGTTGGAATGCCTGGACAGGACGGAGTGCAGGTCCTTGTTGATTCAGGGGGGACAACACCAGGAATGTTAGTCCAAGGAGCAAACAGAGGGCGTGGCCGAGGGGGGAGAGGTGGAAGGGGACGGGGTGGTGGCAGAGGAAGAAGATCAACTTCTGGACCTCCACCTGAGATCGACCATAACATTGAGGTAAAGGTATTAATTATCTCTTTGTGGTTGCATATGACATTTTAACTACATATTCTTCCCAGAAGGTCCAGGACTTAAAATGAGCATTTGTGGAAAGGCTTTTTCAAAATGACTAGCGGTGACAAAGTAATGAATATCAGTATTATTTATTTTTTTTACCATCGGGTTTATCCCCTAGTGAAACATGTAATTACGTCAAGACAATCATAACAAACATGTATTTGAACATTTTTATCAACCTTAACTTTCAATTTCGGACTCTTATCTGTCAAAACAAAGCCAATCTATGTGTATGTAAGTTTGGGTGGTGCCTTAATGGGGGTAAAGACAATAGAAAAACCCTTACAGGGACAGCCAAAAGGTGGCCATGGATGCTTAATAGAGTTGGCCGGTTGATAAGGGTTCTATTTACAGTATTTAATGGACAATAATTTCAGATAACTGAGAACTGGCCACTTAATTTAGTAAGGGGTGGCCACTCATGTACATGTAATAGGAGGCCACTTAGTAAAGGTTTAACTGTATATATTTATGCATGTGTTTGTTGTGGTTACTTGTCGCTTAGCCACTTTTTTAGTTGTACCACATGCCTTATTTAACTGACTGTGTTAATTTTTTTTATGTTTTAGCGGATCTTTATATGGGATCTGGATGAAACTATTATTATTTTCCATTCACTTTTAACGGGAACTTTTGCTTCAAAGTTTGGCAAGGTAAGAGATTTCAAGGTTTCAAAAATTGAAGTTTGAAATGTGCTAAGCCTGTCAAAACCAATGGTTATATGAAGCTGTCTAATTTTGTCCTGCAGTGCAGTGCATTATTAAAAGTCTGCATATGAGCCAATTGGCCCATCAGGCCAGAGTTTATCCTGGTTTCTGTAGCATGAAGTGACTAGGAGTATTTCTACACTCCCTGGATGGGATTTTAGTCCATCGCAGAGTTATCCCCAGCATTTAATTTGCCGGTACCCATTTATACACCTGGGTGGAGAGGAGCACTGTGAGAGTAAAGTGTCTTGCTCAAGTGCACAACACAATGACCCGGCCAGGACTCAAACCCAGACCTCTCAGTTTGGAGTCGAGCGCACTAATCATGAGGCCACCACACCTCCTCCTTAGTGCATTACTACCACACCTTTTAAACCTCAGGTTCTTACAATCTCTTGATGCATGTTTATTCCACAGGATGCTCCAAACTCAGTGTCATTAGGACTTCGCATGGAGGAAATGATTTTCAATTTAGCAGATACACATTTATTTTTTAATGATTTAGAGGTAAGATTGAGAGTTTCAATAAGCTCCATCTCTGATTCACTGATCCAACCCTGAAAAAACAACAAGAAATAAAACAGGAGAATTGGAAGATCCTTGGGCAGTCTTGTACATCATAACAAATGGCGCGAATGTGTGATTTGCATGATGGCGCCATTTGGCTACAACTATCAGAATCCTTCACTCGTTCTGTTTCTTATGCTTAACCACACTGGGGCTACAAAATTTAAATCATGAAGAAAAAGCGTAAGGAATTCTGGGAGTTGTAGTCAAATGACATCAACGTGCAAATCTGCTATTGGTTTTCTTTATGAGCCAATATGCAAAATTGTAGCTCAATGTCACATTTGGTTTTCAGGACTGTGATCAAGTGCACATTGATGATGTTGCTGCTGATGACAATGGACTAGATTTAAGGTATAGTTGTGTGTACCTGTCCTTGTGGCTTTGTAGATCAGGCAGAGAGTGAGCTATTCAGTCTCTTGATGATATTCACTCCAGAACATCTTTGCCTGTGTGCAGTACCTACAATTTTGAGGGAGACGGATTTCATGCTGCTGCTACATCAGCCAACCTGTGTCTGGCCACTGGTGTCCGCGGCGGAGTAGATTGGATGAGGAAACTAGCATACAGATACAGACGAATCAAGGAGATCTACAACAGCTACAGGAATAATGTAGGAGGTAAGATGGGGTTCATTTCTGTAGTAAGTAATGCGTTACGTAGCACAGCAGGTAATTGACCTTAGTCATAGTTACCTCGTGGCTGGAGGGATCCCATGTGAAAAGGTTGGGAGCACTGCCTCTGTCCAAGTGACAAAACCCATCTTCTGTCTTTCTCTCTCCACTGTTCTCCTCCATGTATCCATTCCCCACCCCCCATGGATTTTGTTGGTAGTCCAATGGTATCTTAAAGTGGTCAAATAAAGGTTGAACCATAACCAGATTGGTCTTTTTTAGGGGTTTTATACAAATTTTCCAGTGAGACTATCCACTTTTCAACAAGCATTCTGACCTTTTCACATGGTATTTCCCTTCCCCTCCCCAGGGTGTACCTGCTGATACAGACAATTTTCATTGTGTAAACCTGCTTCCACTTCTCATGGTCTTCACTCTTTTAAGTATTTTGCTTGCAAAACTTGGAACTCTCTACCTGAGAACTTAAGAATGGAACCTACTTTAACTGGTTTTAAATGCCTTGTAGAAACAGTCTCCTTTCAGGTATAATTGCTGATTACTACACTAATTGTTTGTTTTATACATATTGTAGCCAAACATAATTGTTAGTAGTGTAGTACTTTTTGTTTTTATATTTGCAATGTTTATTTTCCTCGAAGATAAAAGCTTTTTAGCTACCTGTAAATTCGAGTCAGAAAAAAATAGTCATGTAAGTATGTACACTGCATTTCTGAGTGAGAACAGGTTTCATGAATGGACTGATGTCACTCAGCATGATTAACCACAAAGTAGGGCACAAAAATCTAAATAATATTGTTGAGATATTTTGCCATTGTTATTCCCTTGAAGGTCTTCTTGGTCCAGCTAAAAGGGAAACATGGCTACAGCTGCGTATGGAATTAGAAGCAACCACAGACTCATGGCTGACTCTTGCCTTAAAAGCGTTAACACTCATTCACTCCAGGTAGCGACAGAGTTCTGAGTTATGCTGAAACTTTCTCACACATCTTTTCACTCTTCGCAAATGAACAAACATTCTCTTTTTGACACATTGTTGGATTTGTTTTCGTCGCACTTATCATCCCCATTTTTCCATCCACAGGTCAAACTGTTTAAATGTTATGGTGACAACCACACAGCTTGTTCCTGCACTTGCAAAGTGTCTTCTGTATGGACTTGGTGGGATTTTTCCACTGGAAAATATTTATAGTGCTACTAAAGTTGGTAAGTGGTAATGATGTAAAGGAAGATTTTAAAGGATATGTAGAACAAACTTTTCAGTAGACTAAAATAACATAAATCCTTGAATTAGTGGACAGGGCACTTATTTCAAAGTTAGGAGAAGACAGGGGGTACTTATTTGAGGAGGGCGCTTAATCCAGGTTTTGTGGGGGGGCTTATTTAATTTTTTGCAAATCGCGGTCACATATGATCGGTTATTTTGTAATACATGTATGTGTTAGTCGTGCTGCTGCACAATGTTGGTTGGACTTCAGGCATTGAATCAACAGATCTCTGCTACCATCCTTTGTGACAGTCAATGTGCAGAGCTTCATTGAGTCGATAATCACTTGCTTGTGATTGAACATGACCAAAACTATAGATCCTTTGTTGTCCCAGTACTTGTCCATAACACAGGGGAAGTGGAGGGGGTGCTTATTTGAGGGGAGGTGCTTATTTTTAATTTTTGCTGATAGGAGGGGTGCTTATTTGAAAGGAGTGCTTATTTGAGAGGGGACGCTAATTCAAGGATTTACGGTAGTTTGTTTATGGTGTCGCGGATTTGCAAATCACAGTTTACATGGTCAGGATTTCCTTTGTTCTCTTTGTTTTTACAGGAAAGGAAACCTGCTTTGAGAGAATCTCAAATCGATTTGGAAAGAAATGTACATATGTAGTTGTAGGAGATGGAAGAGACGAAGAAATGGCAAGCAAGCAGGTAAAGTTATCTTGAATTGAACACTGTAACAGTCAGCTTTTTGAATGTGTGGTAGGTAAGGAAGATATTGACTGTGGGTCTGGTTTGCTTGGAAAGAATAAGTTTGTTTGTTTTGTTGTGTTATGGAATCCTACACATAGAATAATTTATGTCCAAAAAGGCTGACAGTAGCACCCCTTTGAAGTGGCCACACCCATTTAGAAGCATCGCTGACTTACATTTTGTGTAAAAGTGTAATACTGATCATTGTTTTGAACTTTACAAACTCTGAAATCACCCCTCTTGCCTTAGTATGAGTTTTTGTCCGCGCACGTAACTTCAGGTGATTTTAATTAGCCAGTCGTGGCTCAGAATGTGCTAGCGCACACATTTGAACTTCGCTGTTGTAATTTTGTAGATTTTCATCTTTGCTGTATTTTCTTGGCGTGTTTAAGATTTTAGGTCAGCCTTGCCACTGTTTCTGGAGTTTTGAGTCTAGCTTCTTCACCTTTTTTAGCCATTGTGATTCATCGTTTATTGTATGTTCCGGATTACGTGGCTGGTTCATTAAATAGTTCGTTTATTTGGAGTCTGAGCCTACAACTCACTGAATACAATTCCCAACAATCATCACCTATCATCACTGGAGCCAACATTTAAGGCCTTCACATTAATCTGTACTTTTTTGTTTCAGATGGGATTTCCTTTCTGGCGGATTGGCACCCACACAGATTTAATAAACCTTCACCATGCATTAGATTTGGGACATCTCTAGAGGATTTAATAATTATCAAAGACTTGTTATATCATAACTTAGAGTTATTCTCCATTTAAGGGAAATAGGGGAGGAATGAACCACAAATGTCACAGAGATACAAGATGACAATGCCATGTATTGAAAATACATATTGTGTGGGAGGGTAGGTCGGAGGTCCAAATTTTACGTCTGTGAATTCTATCTCTTTATGCAACCAATAACCTAAAGTGGAAGTTTATTTAGAGATTGAGTTCTTGTTTTCTTACAAAACTAATATTCGTTTTTAAGCCCTTTTACCCCTAAGAGTCCTGAAATTTAAAATTAGGGAAAAAAATCTCAAATGTCATTTTGCTCAATAGCAAAAGATAAAGAACACCGCATAAACGTGCTGCTTGATAACATTCATCCAAATGGTAGTACTAGTGATTCATCCACAGACTTGGAAATTAGAACCAATTTGTACAGCATAAGAAATTTCTACTCGATAGCTTTGAAATATTGGAACTGTGTCAATTTACGTAGTCTCTGTCTCTTGGGGTAAAAAGGTTAAGGATATGGTTGGTGCTAGAACGTGTAACTTAAAAGCAAAATTTTTGTGTCGTACTTGCAGTCTTGCCATGGCCAGGGAGGGATGATCACATGCATTTATATAACTATATTATAAAGCAGAATATCTGTACAGCTTTTGTAACGTAGAGGCCGGACAATTTGTAAGGTTTTGTTTCATTAAGTGTCAATCATTCTTTCTTAGTCGCTGGCTTATTGGTCTCTTTCGTAGCCATTACATGGGTTGTCACGCAATGTTTGTTACGCCGTTACTGTCACGCAACGTCTCACCTAGAGAATCGCCTCGAGGCGACCCAAATAAAGGTTTCGCAGGAGACTAGCTTCGTAGAACGTGACGAGAGTCTGGTTTTTAGCCGAGAAAAGAAATGTTTTGTTATGCCATTGTGATCTGGCCGTTGATTTTTCTAGTTTGTTTTTGCGCATGCGCCTAAAGAGTTAATGTTAGAGAAGAAATGAACATTCTCGTCCCCAGAGGCCGCGCTCCTTTTGGTCAGCACCAAGAATCGCGACCTCTGGCCGGATCCAACACCGGAAGTCCGCGATTCACGGATTTCCCGTCACTGCGCATGCTCAGGGTCAAGTCTGGCAAATCTGATTGGTTCCAGTCTCATTCTATTGTGTTTGCAAAGCCAATCAGAAACGGAACCTCACTTGACCTATCCAGAGGTCGTGATTCTTGGTGCTGACCAAAAGGAGCGCGACCTCTGGGGACGAGAATGAGAATTGAAAGAAAATAATGTGAAAATTCCCTCTTCAGAATGGTCAAATTATTACATATTATATATTGAATTTTATATATAAATTCATCTGTATATTGTCAAATTGGAATTCAGAGTATCAGTCTATGAAGTATGTAACATTTGGGAATGCCAATAAAACTATCAAGTATTCCTTTATTGGAGTAACATGAACGGTATAAGTGTTTTGCTTTCTTCTATGTTTCCATTAAGTTTTGAGTTAAACTTTTTTTCTGCAAGATAGATTTTTCAACATTTTACGTAGTAATTAGCAAGCATAACAATACTCCCTGAGGTTTTCGATTTTTAGACGTTTTTAAAGTATTCAATTCAAAGTCCACTCACTCCCCACACTCCTCCGGGTATATGACAACTTTTCCTTCCCCAGGGTAGCGCATTTTCAGGTCATTTCGGGTGGTGGGGCAGTCAAAGGCAATTTGTCTTTCAGTTTTTGAAATACGTACACCTTTCGCTGTTTGTTGAGATTTTCTGTTAGTTTTCAATAGAAAACGTAGAAAATTTACTGAGTTTATAAACTTCCTTGGTGTCTTGCACTGTTCAAGCGAACCCGGGACCATCTTTGAACCCCTTCGCATCGGCAAAAGTTTCCAATGTTGCCTTGTCGGCGAACTAATCATAAAGAAAGAAGCCTTGACATCTTTGCAAGGCAGGACCAATCCGTAAGCGCTTGGGAAAGAAAGGGCTTGGCTGCAGCAGGCTGCGGTTATTTTTCAATTAGAGTGTTAATTACAGATCCGATTCTGCCTGATTACACAGGGAAACATGGGCACAGACCTCGTCTTCCCGAAGCAAGTTAGCTAGCCCTACCGTGGGGTATTGGCAACATTTTTTGTTTTGCTTTTGTTTTTCAAAAAAAAGGGAAATGCCCAGGGTAGGGGNTAGTCCGCTCAAGTTCCTGACGCATAGGTCACGTTAATTTTGGTCGCCGAGCTGGCGATTTACG